TTTAGTGTTTTTTGAGCGTCCACAAAGCCACGATACGTGATTAGACGCCAATTGATCGACAAAAAAAGGCCATAGAAAACTGTCATAAAAAATTAACCATTTTTTAAATACAAAAAAAATCAATGTCAGAAAAACAGAAGAGAAGCAAAACAACCAGCATTGGGAAAACTTTTAGTAATTTCGAGCGTCAAAAAACCAAAACATCAATTCGTACCATTGCGAGATACCATCAGTGTGATGAAGATAACTAAGTGAAAAAAACTTGAAAAATTGGAAATACGGTAAATTCAATCAAGGAAAACAGACGAAAAACCCAGCTGGCAGTTACTATCAAAAAAAAAGATTAAAATAATTTCCGAGCGTCTTATAGTCCAATAACACTTAAACGGACATTATTCGATTTGAATGCAAAAACGCCAAAAAATGTCAAAAACGGAACAATTTCTTTTAAACAAACAAATATTTCAATTTCAGAAAAACAGAAGAGAAACTACAACTAAGATTGAGCAACTATTTTGAATTTTCTGAGCGTACATTAAGCCACAGCACGTAGTTGGATGCCAATTGATCCAGAAAAAAGCACAAGAAAATTGTCATACAAAAATCAAGTTTTTTTGGTAAAACAAAAAAGTCAATCTCAGAGAAAGAAACGAGAATCACAAAAACCGGTATAAAACAAGTTTTCAGTATTTTTGAGCAGCAACAAAACAAAAAAACCCATTAGTAGCATTGCAAGATGCAAATTGGTCATTGTGATGGAAATAACTCAGTGGAAAAAACCTGAAAAACTGTAAATATGAAAAAAACTAATCTTAGAAAAAAAACACAAAAAACACAACCACTTCCAATGAGCAAGCATCAAAATTTTCTGAGCGTCCACTAAGCCAATAGCACGTAGTTAGACGCAAATTGTTTCGAAAGCAAAAACGCTAAGAAAATAGTCATAAAAAACTAATCATTTTTTTGAAAATTCAAAAAATTGACTCACAGAAACAACAAAAAGCAATAGGCAATTTTTTTTTCTTCTCGAGCGTGCCCGAAGCCACAGCACCGTTCCAAGCTAGTAAATGGTCAGTGAGATGAAAATAAAAAAAAAGGGAAAAAACTTGAAAAGATAGAAATACGAAAAATTCAATCAAACAAAAACTGACGAGAAACGCCATCTTCACCAGATGAGAAAGACCACTACAAGATTGTGGTATATTCTGAGCGTCCAATAGACCAACAACACGTAAATAGACGCCTGTCAATTTGAACGCAAAAACGTCAAAAACTTGTCATGAAAAGTCAATTTTTTTTGAAAAATTCAATATCTGAAAAACAGCAGAGAAAAACAATATCTAGCATTAAGCAAGCTTTTAGTTTTTTCTGAGCGTCCACTTAGCCACAACACGTAGAAAGACGCCAATTGATCAGAAAAAAAACACCAAAAGAAATGGTTGTCACAAAAATATTCAAATTTTTTTTTGAAAATAGGAAAAAGACAATATCAGAAACTCAAGACGAGAAACACGTAGCAATAAGCCAGCTTTAAGTGTTTTCCGAGCGTTTACTTGTAACATTGCGTTATATTTTCGAAAAAAAAATTCAATACCTCAAAAAAAGACGAGAAACACGACAACCGGCATTAAGCAAGCCTTCAGTGCTTTTTGTCCAGTTTTCACTTTTTAAAATATTCTGTTTTCAATTTTTTTTTAATTCAGAAAAATTTTCAATTTTGCGGGGCTAGAAAATTGTTCCTAATATTTTCACTGGTTTAGGTAATTTTATAAATTTGCCAATTCCAAGGGCCATGCCGGCAATGTAAACAAAAAACCAAGAGAAAAAGATTTTTTTTTCAATTTTGAACTTGAAAAATCCTTACCTTCAAGCAGATTCAAAAAAGAAAAAAAAGAAAATTACCTGAGCTAAACTTACTGATCTAAGTACTCTAAACTTTATTAGGAACTGTAGACTGAAACCCTATTTTCAATTAAACGTGAAGACTGAATTCCAATAATTCTTTTTTTTTTTGTTATTAGAGAAGAACTCAGCTTCGTATTCTTATTCAGCTTTAAAGAACAGGATTTGTTCAGTCGGCTTCCAAAAAAACGCAAAACAATCCACTTTTCTTCTGATTGGTGATTTTTTGATGATTTCAACCTAACTTTTTGTTCGCGTCAGCTTCCAGTTGGTTGAAATAGGAGAAAAAAAAAACAGAAAAGTTGGACAGACAGATTTATTGGGCAAAATTAGGGTAACTCTGAAGACCAAAAATAAAACCACGCATTCGCACGCAGCAGATCTCGAGAAAAATATAAATAATTCAAAACTTTTTCATTACACTTCAAATATTATTGTTTCGACCATTTGAAAAACAGGGAGGAACTTAGTATTCGGGTGTGTTTCAGTTTTTTTTCACGCAGTTCAGATTTGTTTTTCACGCAAAATCAGGTACCACAAATAATCATCGGAATGGATCGAGTGATATATCATGTTAAAGCCCTTTCAGTTGTGATTCGAATGAGATTAAAAAAAACCAGTTTGAGAAAAGTCGATTTGAAATTTTTAATTTTTGGTCTAACTTCAAGCTAATGAAGCTCTAATAAAACTAGTGTGCAGGCTTAAAGTAGCTTATTTCTGCTGAATTTAAGCCGTGAAATTGAATTTTACTCGAGTAAAAGTTAGTTTTCTGGGTTTTTTAACGCCATTATGGGAATCAAAAACTTCAAAAAATTTCTGCAATAAAAATTGAAAAAAAGTTTCACGATTTTTTGGTTTTTCTAGTAATTTTTTACGAAAACTATTTTATTAAAACCTCTATTTTTCTTGCAACTGAATACCCTTCCTGGCCCAGAGGTAAAGTTGCATTTCGCAAACACAAGCTTAACCAAAGAGATACTTCATTCCTCTGTTATGTAAATTAAGGTAAAAAGCGGGCATTGCTCAGCCGAAATTGGCAAACGCCTATAAACTTGGAAAATGCCTATAATCTGATAAACGCCTATAATCTGGCAAAAACCCATAAATAAGGTTGGCAAACACCCAAATTGGCAAACGGATATGCCCAAAATTGTGAGGCCGGATCTAAAATTTTGAGGGTGGACTTTCAAATAAAATGTGAAATATTTAACGACCCTTCGTTAGCTTGATCAAAATAAATTTTCCTAGTTCTCCTCCAGTTTTGGCGGTTTTTATGGCGTTCTGATCAAAAAATTTGCGTTTTTTGGCGCGCGCTCCTGTAAAAAAAACTATGTAATGCCACCTTTAGACATAGGGCCAATCGGCCAAAAATAGATGTCATAAAATATCAACAAATACGGAGTTCTATGGGCAGTGAAAGGGTAGACTCCCTGAAGAGGGTGTCCCCTTAATTCCCCCTCTGCAGAGTTAATATTTGGCTCAATTGTGTGTATTCCACATGTAAAAAGGCTGTGAAGGGATAACTGAAGCTCTTAAAAATAATTTTCCCCGAATGTTCAACACAAAGCTTTTTGCCGATCAATTGAGCAATATAAATCCATCCATTCTCGCAAGGCGGTAGGGAGGAAGTAGTTCATTGGCTCACTTCAGACTGGTAACTTGCTTTCCTCGATGAGGCAATGGCCGCTCCAACAAAAGCTTGAGTTCTTCGATTGTTTTTTTTTCTCGATACCCATGTAAACTAAATTTCAGTCGGTCAATGGATTTGAGCATCCCTGATTCTAATAAATAAAAAATGACTTTTCAAAAATTTAGACTCAAAATGAATGAGTTGCTAGAGAATGTGAAGTCAGCAGCAGATTAAATTTTATAGTTTTATTTTCCAAATAAATTACAAAAAATACTAAAGTTAGTAGTAAGTAAAGAATATTTGTAGTAAGTAAGGAATAAAAGGTAAATTTTTCGAACTTAAAAATAAGTTTTTCAAGGTTAATATTTAAGAGAAACATTGTTGAACCCAAACGCGGTTAAATTTTCCGCACAGCTAAAAAAATTGACCTTCATTTTTCCTGATTTTGTTTCCATGCAATTTTCGACTAGGCTTAGACTAGCCAATCAGATTTGTTGAAATAATATACTTTAAGCAGATTTATCAAATTTGTTGCTGACTTCACCAAATTTGACAACAGAGTAAACATATTTGAGTAAACAGTTTCGAAGTTCAATCAGGGGCCGATCCAGGATCTTCTCGAGGGGAGGGGGGGCAGATTTTCAACAAAAAAAATCGAAAATTTGGTCGACTTTTTTTAGGTCGACTAATTTGATTTTCTGAGCTCTAGCAAATCACTATAAAGACCCTATTTTCACCAAATTTTCTGCGCCGCAGGCGAGTTTTTGAAAAAAAAAACAGGCCAACTTTTCAAAAAATGCTGACCAAAACAATGCGTTTTTTTAGCGCGCGCTCCCAAATCAAAATTAGTATATATTGACGCCGAAAGCGCTTTTAGAAAAATTATAGGGTCAGTAAGACAAAAATGGGTAACTCAATATAGTACAAAGAGGGGAGGTACCCTTTATCTCAGCAGGGGGTCAGATGTCAAATCCTCCCCATCCCCCCATTAATTCAATTAATATTTCGGAATGAGGGCCGAAAAACTTATGACCAACTTTTTGTCCCCATATGTTCATTAGAATCGAATATGTGAATATGTACCTGTTGCAAAGTTCACAGACGCCAATGTCTTTCATATAACACTCGATAAAATGCGTTCGGATTTGATGACCGTTTTATTTTTTGAATGTTTGCATCTCGCAATCTCCAAGCGCTCCATCTAAGAACTGAATCATCTGCTCGTAAAGTTTTCAGAGAATTGGATAAAAAGCCAATTTTCACATCTCAGACCTGTTTGCGATTACAACTCCTCGGAGGCACTCAAACGTATGGAATAAGACATACTAAATTAGTTGAACAATCCTCTCTTGCGCATTTATATGATGTTAAAATCATGAGAATAACATGTTTAATAATTTATTTAAAACATTCAAAATAGCACCAAATAAGAAAAAAAATTGAGATTAATTTCAAAAATATACTCTACACTATTTGAAATATACGAAGAAACATGAATCATTGACGTTCATTACAGATTGGCTAAACATTTAACAGAAACAAACATAAACGATTTATTTGTTATTTTTCAACCGAGTTTCACAATGTGCAAATTGCTCTCTAGTGCTATTCAGCCGACTGTGCAGAATGGAGACGAATCGGGACGGCAACTTGGGCAATTTTCGGCTGAGGGACTCTTCGGCTTGGAAATCTTGGTACATGGAAGACCACAGACTAGAGTTGCTGGCGTGTCGTTCGATGTTGGCCACGGTTTGGGGAGAAAACAAGCAAACTGAGCTCAAAAGCTGGTCGTGATAATGACTAAACTTGTCTAGTATTCTGTAACTATGAAGCAGACCTGATTCGTTGTCAAATAACAGATAAAGGTTATCGGAGTTTCGTTGCTGCAAATTGTGTATGGGATACTGCAACATTCTTGAGTTCCATTTCAAATTGTTCAGATTGTTAACGACTCGATCTAAGTTCGCAGTTAGATAGTCGAAAACTACCATGTCGGACCACTGGGCTAATTCTGCTATTTCAACTGAGTTCAAAGATACTGAGCTCTGATTGGACAAAATCGTTGGCAAAGAGGCCAAAGTTGACCAATCAGCGACGGAGTTCTGATCTGTCTGGAAGTATAAGGGTATATTGACAGGATGAAGGTAGTCGATGAACTTGGTAAGGATGACCAATTTTCCCTCCTCCCAGCCCCCTTCGCCCTCGTTTTCATTTTTGAGCAGCTGAGGGGCAACATCTGACCAGAAAGGATCGGACGCGTTGAAAACCGAGAGTTTGGTAGGGGCAACTTTGTTAATACCTGCAAAACAGACATAACTTTTACTTTATATTTTGACAACCAATTTGTGACAACATTTTTCTTGAAGATCAACCTTTACTAGGGCTGAAAAGGGCTAGAAGAAATCAACATATAAAAAGATATAAAATTGCAAAAAAAAGATCCCTAAAAACCCTAACGAAGTTGTTTACGGAAAAAAAGTCAAGAACCCGATTGCAATACCCTTGCTTAACGCAAGCGCAAGCAAAACATTCAATCCAAATTTACGTGAGCTCGAGAATTTTTGTTTCAATAAAAATTTCAATTACTTTCTTTCTCATCAATGTGAAAAACAAGAGAATGAAACTTGTTTATTTCAATGTCCCAAAAGGAACAACGTTAACGAGTTTTTGCTATAAGTATAACTTAACAGCATAAACTTTACCGCTTCTTTGCTCGTTAGACCAAAGAATATAAAACGTTAGAAACGTTAGAAAAAGAACTACAACGTTAGAAAAGTTACCGCAAACCCCCCCCCCCCCCCCAACCCCCAAGCACTTCCCCAGCTTTGAGAATTTCCGGATTAAAAAGGGGTTTTTATACGCGGTCAAACATGGTATGCTAATATTATGAAAGATTGTGGATGAGGACTCAAACTGACCAATCGCACGGCTGAGATAGAACGAGAAGACCTCCCCCTGGATCTGATCCTGGTTCTGTCTATACCTGCAACACACTCGCCCTCCCCCCTCCAAGTGCAGCAGTCTGTTCTTCATCCGACCACAACCCTTCTCCACGCCCACAACACGTGACCTGCTGATTTCGTCTAAAATATAAACAAACAATATGATTTTTATCTGAAATGTTCATGTTGGCGCCACTGAATATCAACCACGCAACATGATCAATTATTGATCAAAAGATCTCTTCTTGCAAGAAAACATTTAAACGTTAAAAAAAGTCATCAATAGCATTTTGCAGTAAAAAAATAACATTTCCGGAATTGTGAAATTAAAAAAATTAATTCAACTACTATATCTTCTGAGTTTGATTAAGCAAGCATAGATCGTAACAAAATTAAAATTAGTAATGAAGTAATCTAATTAAAATTAATTTTTTGGTTTCTGCCAGTTGCACATGATCTAACAAAGACTGCATATGAGATCAGTCTTAATTTTCATAAGAAGACTTCGTTCGAAATTACTTGAACGTTTTACTCGATCCTTCTTTTAAATTCACAATCTTGTTTAATTTTCTCGAGGCACTACCAGTTGAAGTTACATTTTGACGGTTTTTCTATCTGAAGTAGGCCAAGCAAACTAACCTTTCCACTGTTTAAACTCCTCGTTGGAGAACCCCTGCGGCATCCTTTTCATTATCTTGCTTGGAAAAAATATCAAGGCACTCCACTCCTCGAGATTCAATTGGTCACTTTGCATGTTGTCATTCCTCATGATTGAAATCCTCTGTGATATGGTAACTATTGCGAATAGGCTGAGAATCAGGGCTCCTGACAGTAACAAAAGACTATTATTTGACCGGTCAAAGGTCACGGAAACATTCGCGGGTCGTCTTATTGATCCCGTTTCATTATAGTGACCCCGAACCTGAACACGGCCGAAGGAGGCGGTGTTAGATTTGCGTGGGTTGTCAGGGTAATCGCAAACCGACACAGACTTTAACTAATTTTCTGCCATAAATTTCATTTTTTAAATTCGGATAGCAAAATAGTGTCTAACAAGAATGCTTTCGAAGTTTACGTTTTACAAATCTCTCAAATTGAAAATATTTCAGTTTGCAAATGAATGAAATTGAGCCAAAATATGTACGAAGGATCTGCGTTGTGAAGTTCGGGTTGTTGAAATACTTCCACCAGATATGAGATAAGATTGTTGATAACGAGAACTTTTTCTTTACGACGAAAAAGTAAACAAAGGGAGCAAAGTGGTTTGTTTGGATCAACTGGTTGGAAGAAATTGGAGCTGGAACTATTTGATTTTATAGCTAGGAAAATAAATTGAATTGGCGGCGTGTTAAATAAAAACGAGGAACAATGGATTAAGGAGACTAGAAGGTAGATTTCTCTTTACCGATCAGTTTTACCAGTTTTATAATAAAATATGAATTGTTGTCAGCGATTTAATGCTTGGATATAAAAGCGCACACTGCATCGTAATGTAATACGGCTTTTTTAAATCCTTTTTCTCTTTTCCAATCAATAAATTCAAACTATCAAAATGGCTTTTGCACAGATCTAAAAAAAAACTCCTTGCGAAAGTAGAAATGCGGAAGGGTTTCTTCGATCGACCGGTGGTTGGCTTCGAATAATGTCTGGTTGGTTGAGGGGATCGTAAATTTGGCTAGATCAGATGCGTCTTATGACAGCAATTAATCAGGTTATGACAGGGTAATTCGGTCGATTGCGGGAGAACAATTCAAACACAGGTGTACACTCCTCAATAAATCTCAATCAGTCCGCCAATATGAGCAGACGAGCCGCTATTAAACGAGGGACCCGTGCCACGATCAAAACAGACAACAAAAAAACAACTGAGACCAAATTCTCCGCTTTTTTCTCGTTTTTCTTCTTTTTTTTCAGTTTTCTATCAGAAATTGCAGTAACATCTGATGAACAATTTGAAACTCTCTCATCACTTTTTGGTTTTGAATAACAGCATCAACATGAATCATCGGAACTGAAAGGCAGTTTATCCAGTTTAATCTTACGCAATGCTGATGTAATATTATAATGTTATGCAATAGTGATGTAACAATACCTAAATGGCGATAAGGAACTGAAAGTGGGGATCAGATGTGCTGCTGATGATGATGGTGGACCGATGGAATTGTTATAAAGTGTGGGTGTTACCTTTGGGATTTTGAGTGAAGTTTCGTCCCCTGTGTGACGTATAGAATAACATAAATTAATCTCCTGTCACGAACTGATAATTTCATTCACATTATTCCCCTGTTGTCAAATATTTCTATTATAACCGCTTGTTTTTTCACGAATTTGCTTCGTTGTCTTTTCAGCCAATTTTGAGGGCGCAAAATTAATTTGTTTGGAATTAAGGGGAAATTGAAAATGGGAGCTCTTCTGAAAAATTAATTCTGGTTCAGGTGCAGACAAAGTTCCAATTTCCTTCGCTATAAAAACTTTCGATTTTGCGTCTTCTTCCAACTGAAACAAAATATCCCAATAAATGTCAAGTAAACAACATAAACAGTAACCAGACAAAAATAAACGTTTTCTTTGCGCATAAGATTAAAGGTGTTTTTATACCAATTAAAATGCGGAAAAAACTTGAGATAACCTTTTACATTTCTACCCACTATGTTTTACTTCTATTATTTTATATCGGTTTGAAGAAACTTCATTTAAACAAAATAATATCAAAGAGTCGTTTGGGCCGCAGAATTGAAGTGGTTAAAACTATATGGCAGACACGTGGGTTCAGTTTACTATTATGGGAAAATAGAATTTACACTCGTCTGTAGATCGGATAAAGTAAATTGAAAGTGAGGAAGATGAGAATGAGATTAATGGATTCTGACTGATTGCAAAAAAGCGTTTAAAAGAACAAGAGTTTATGCGGTGTTGTTTATCGCCTCAATGCCGTCAAATGCCCTTTTATACTCGATGCATTTTTTCACTAAATGTCATTAGCAGCCAAATTTATGTGCAGTTAAGGACACGCAATGAAATTTATGAACGAAACATGATCTGAATTTTCCTTTTTTCTTTTTTTTTTTCACTTCATTTGACATCGACAAAAAATAAGAGAGGCTAGTCTGCGGTTTTAGGTTAGTAAGGTTAGTAATACTAATGATAGATAGAAGGGCAACTCTTATACATGGGCTAAATTAGCAGTCAGCTCCCTGGGATTCCCCTAAGATTTCACCCAAATCCAATTTCCAGAGCCACAAATTTAAACGCGCCCCCGTCGAGCTAGAAAATGAGAGTAAAAACAGCATCTATTGCCAGAACTGCGCCGCACGGGGAGTGTTATGCAAGTTTTTGTCTTTTCAATAAAAATTACACTAAAAAGCTAAGATCTTATAAAAGGGGGCGTTTCCGTTACAAGATAGAAAAACATGAGAGACGTTCAATAAACTCACCAATTAGACGATATGAAAAAGAAAAAGTAATTTAAAGAGAAAATGACTCAATTTAACAGTGATTGTGCCATTCTGACTGCTGGAAATGAAAAATAGATACTGGCTCAAAAAACTGTTTTGTGTTTTCTCAATATGTAATGTGTTCACATGTTCTCAGGTTAGGGCAGTTGATAAAATCAATAGAAAACTCAATTTTCCGGCTGTGGTTCCCCAAATATTTAATTTTTCTGCTGCTAATCTCAAAATAGTGAATCACCCCTGCAAGAAAAGATAAAATCGGGTCCCAAAAATAATCAATGAAGTATTTTGAACAGCTAAAGTCAATTTTACTCAGCTGGAAAGGCTTGCAAGCTCACCTTAGCCAGAGTTATTTCTGGTAGTTAAGTTAATAATAAAACAGCGGGCGGGATTCGTTGTTTGGTGGCTTTCAAATTGGATAGGAAGAATTACGGTTGGAGGGTACTTTTGATTGAGGTCCTAGCCAGTTATGCGATATTAACAGACTATTTTTGATCGACCGCAGATTTCAAGCTTAAGTTTCTCTCCGTCGGATAATCCGGCGAAATGAATGGCGCTGAATAGGGGGCTGAATAGTGGCAGCGGATACGCAATTAAGAAATAAAGAGAAAATCCGGCCGAAACAATCCGCTTGCCTTTCCTTGTCTTATTTTAATACAATTACCGGTCCGATTTATTGACTTTTGCACATATTTTGCCAAAATTACATCTATGTCCGTAAGGCACCAGCCAAAATGGTACAAATGTAGCAGCAGCAGAGATGGCATGACTTTCTTCATATCTATCCAACAAAGCAGACCAATAAAAGACAAAAAAAGACAGAAAACTGGAGTTATATTGAATATCAAGTTGACATTCTTCCTCAATTAGAATTTTTTTTACTGGAGCTGTCAAACAGCATAATTTATTGTTTCCAGTGGCGCCATTTTCCAACGGCCATCCGTTTATAAAGTCTGACATTTATTCACGGTACGAATCTATTTTCTTTTGAAATCCAAAGAATGGCCAATCGGTAATGGACTGGTGTCATAGGGCCAATAAAACATTATCCAAAAAGTGTTAAGCAGACCAATCTATAACAACAAGAACGCACGGGAAAATTTCCAAACCTGAACCAAATCATAAGAATACATAAGTAACCAATGAGTTAAAAATAGCTGGTTCAGCAAGTCAGATTGCGAATCACCTTCAAAAGACATTCAAATTGGTCTCCGACAGTGACCATCGTATGCTCGCAACCACTTTTAAAAGTAAGTGAAAAAAACAAAATCTGTAAAAAAAAATTGCATCATAGAAAGAAGCAAAAGCAACTGAACTTTTCAAATACATTTTCGTTTTCTTTTTCCGCAAAGAAATACCAAAAATTTTCACTGAAATCTATCTAGAGTATTTCACTGCTAAAACTGCATAGTTTCCTATCCCTTACGCAAAATTATCATATGAATTTACCTTAAAATTGCTTACATTGCAACCTGCATGAAAGGAATAATTTTCAAGCACATTAACTTTTCGACCTCCCAAAATATGCTCAACAACTGCATTTGGCACGTTTTCCCTAAACACTTTGGCTGGGGAGCGGATTTTGTTGTCCAATAGTTGGCTTGGTTGAGCTAAAAACATTTGAAAACAAGGATAGCCGGTTACCACGCAAGTAGCATAGGATGTTCCGACCATAGTCTTAGAAAAAAACACAAAAAAGTTTTTACAAATTCTTTTCGTTTTTTTGGCGTGGTGTGATAAAAGGATCTGAACGAAAAACTATAGATTAGGCATATTCGACAGTAAAAAAACATGAGCAAATTGAAAAACAATTTTTGTAGAAAAATGACTGAAAAACCAAAAAAATATATCAAAAAAAATGTCAAAAGCTTTTTTTAAATTTTTGAAGTTTTTGATTCAAAAAAGGCGTTAAAATACTCAAAAAACTAAAGATACCCGAATAAAAGTAAATTTTAACGTTTTGAAATTTTTTAAGGTTGTTTGAATCACGACAAAAAAATTTTATTATGATATATCACTGAACTCACTCCGATGATTGTTTGTGATAGCTGATTTGATTTGGGTGGAATACAAAACAAAAAGAAAAAAAATAAAACACACCCTAATATAAAGTTCCTCCCCATTTGATATTTAAATTTTCCATTTCAACTGCATTACGAGGCCAAACTGTGCACTGATGCTACTGGATTTGTGTCTGTATGCTACTGGATTCCAGATACAAACCTCAAGATGAACAAGAAAAAGAAACACAATAACTAGCATTGAGCAAACATTTGGTGATTCTTGAGCGGTTATTTGGCCACAACACGTAATTAGATGCCAAGTTATCTGAAAAGAAAAGCGCGAAAAAAATGTCGTATAAAGATCAACAATTTTTTGAAAATACGAAAGAAAAAACTCAATCTGAGAAAAACAAACCAAAAACACAACAAGGGTTAATCAAATTTTTAGTTTTTCTTCGATGCACGGAGCCACAGCACCGTTCCAAGCTAGTAAAAGGTCAGTGAGATGAAAAAAACTAAGCCAAAAAAACTTGAAAA